TGCCACGGGCATTCGGCACCAATACCCATCAGCTTCAAGGATGCCGTAATGCAACTCAATTTGTTTGGCAAACCGATATTGTTCGGCATTCTCCACCCACCATGAGTAGGGGCGGTTCTTTATCATGGCCGAAGCTACTTCGGCATCCTCCCACTCTAAAAACCCGGGGAGGATATCCCAAAGGACGGCGGGAACTTCATCGTCCCGCCCAGAAGCGCTCGGCCCCTCCGTTCTCTGAGGAGGAGCCGAGGAAACTGGAGTCGCCCTGATCCCTTCAGCAAGGTCAGACTCTGCTCTTCGTCCATTCCAGGTCCCAATCCTGTTCCTGGGATCGGGAATCGGCCTTGCTCTTCTTGGAGCACGGGCTCTACCCCTAACTCCTCTCGCCATTGATAATTTCGAAGAAAAAAGTCGAAAAAAAAGGGAAGGAGTTCGAATTCGAAGAAAAATAAACTAAAATCAAAGGAATTTACCTTAATCTGAAGCGAAAGTTGCCAATTTACGAATTGGTAGTGGCAAGTCTCAGTTTCTAAGCTTAATGCTCGGGGAATTTGCGAAGTTTTGATGCGGGTTCTTGGGTTCTCTCGAGAATTCTGGGTTTGTGTTGGTGAATAAGTGAGGAGAGATGACGCGCCTCTGATTATATCTCCAGAAATGGGAATACGGGGAGTCCGCGTTTCAATTTATCTTAAATACCCCACTAAGTAACCGTTAAACACACGACCTTGCGATTAAACTGCCCATTATCCGTCCAACTTCCGCAATTATCCGCCTTAACTGTGGTTATCTCATTAATTACGGTTTAAATTCAAATTTTTGGATTAATTAAATCATTCACTTCCCTCCTTTCCTGATTAAATCAAACCCGACCCGTCATCCTTCCAAATCGGGTCTGGGGGGCAAGTTGTTTGGGTCCAATTTAGTCCAATTGGGCTTAGGCATTAAATGATCCAATTAAAAGCCCAAGGTCAAGGTTCATCTCTCCAAATTGTGCTAAAGTCAAAGATCAGTCCTCAAGGCAAGCCAATTGGGCTAAGGCCCAACTTCTCCATGTATGAAGAGGTATAAAAGTCATCAATATTACATTTGTACATTCATTCAAGCAAAGCCTCAAGCAACTAATTCTCTTGCATAGTGTTCTCTTTCTACACACTGTACTGACTTTAGCATCGGAGGGGCCTTCCTCGGCAACACCCCCGAGGCTAGTTTACGTGTGTTTACTGTGCAGGAAACCTTCGGCCCAACATTTCTTGGATCGAATCTAGTCTTCACCACTTCATCGGACCTTCGGCAAGGTCCCATTGTTTTCACCCGAAACAGTTCGTATTATTTTTACAAATATAACTAACATCATTAAAGTCACCAAGTTTACACTTATGCAAGCTTTCAATCACTATAGTATACTAGTATTCGTAGTCATAGTGAGTTGCGAGTCAATGACGCATTAAATATGCAAGAGGCAATTACTCGATCTAGTAATTACTGGTGATTGTGAGAGATTGAATCCTTTGACAACTCTCTTATTCATGTTATATGAATCGGATCGGTCAACAACACACATTTTATTTACGGCTTTTTCACCATATACCACTTAGTTATCACTTAATTCACCATATATCATTGAAAACTTTTAAATTCACCATATACCACTGAGTTCAACAAAAACGTCACAACGTGTCCTTAATGACTAACGGAGTTAGGTTAATTGTGCCACATGGCTGTCACTTATTGGCTCTTATTAATATTATTTTATTAAATACTTAATAATTAATTAAAAAACTTTTAAAGAATTAAATACATAAACAAAAAAAACCACCACCAACCTAGCCACTGCTGCCCCCCAGCCAGCCCTGGCCAGCGCCTAGCTGTCGGCGCCCATCTCCCTTCCCGCACCAGCGACAACCCCCGCCCCAACCCTCTCCCTTTCCCCTATCCTTTCCCCGATTTCCACAACCCCACCACCAATTTACCACCCAGCCACCCTCTCACTTACCAGCAGCGCCTTCCCCACCCCGGCGACCAGCCATACTGACCCTCCATCGCCAACCGACCCACCCCCTACCTTTAATCCTTACCTCGACCCTCTCCCTTCCCCCGTCGTGCCACCAGCCAAACCCTAACCCACAAAATCTCACTCCTTAGCTCTAACAAAAAACCCATTTTTTTTTTACTTTTCTCTCCTCCAACCTGGTCGATTCTTCTCGTGGGTGGGTTTCGAGAGTGGTGGTTGGTTTAATTTTAGAGGTTGTGGGTGATTTTTAATTGTTGTGGTGGGGGCAGTGGATGGATTTTCTGGAGTGATGGTGGTTTTCAAGGATCGTGGCGAGTGGCTAGGGTGAGGGGCGGCGCCGGCGCAAGGGAAGGGAGTTTGGGCGCCGACAGTAGGGTGGAAGGCAAGCTGGGGGCGGTGTGGGGGCGGGGAGGATGGATGACTGGGCTTGGGGTGGTGGGATTTTTTTTTGTTTTTTTAAGTTTTTTTAAAAAAAAAATTAATTAATCATTATTTTTTAATTAATTAATTAATTTAAATAAGAACCACTCAAATGCTGCCTCATGGCACAGTTAACATTAATAACTAACAGAAAATGGCATGTTGTGACATTTTTGTTCAACTCAGTAGTATATGGTGAATTTGTAAGTTTTCGATGATATATGGTGAATTAAGTGAAAACTCAGTGGTATATGGTGAAAAAGCCGTTTTATTTATCCACTATATTTGTCCACGGTTAGAATAATGTTGTGTCTATAACAAAAAATTAAATAAATAAAGAATAATGTTGTGGATCATGTTTGCCAACAATTATTATTAGCTTCAATTTTTCATATTTATCACTAGTATAATCTAGTATTTTATTAAGTTAGTCCAATTTCAAATGGTATAAGAAAACATTATTTGGCATAAAAAATGTGAGAAATAGAACTTTATATGAAAAAGGATTACATCACTCATTAAATAGAACAAAAGGTGATTTAGATTAATTGATGTATGAGTATTGAGTGTGACTTACAAACTTGCTCAAAAATGTCATCATAAAAAAAGAAGCTAGGCCCCTTTACGGCTTAGCTCTTACGAACTGGGCCGCAATGCCCATACAATAAAGGTCGCTCTGCTTTTTTATTTGGTGCTAAAGCCCACTTAGCATGTCAACAATGTCATAGTGTCTAATATACACCCTCCATATTTGTATAAGTGTATACGTTTGACTTCACATTATTCAAATATCAACTTTGACTTGATTTTATACTATTGTATAAAGTTTTGCTTTATAAATTACAATGCATTTTTCATAATACTAAAGTTTTATTAGACAATCAGAAATATTAATGGTTAAAGTTATACATTGACACATATGCCTACTAAACTGATGCATTTATTTGGATACAAATGGAGTAGTTATATTCCTGTTTATTTCATATTTTTCCAAAAAAAAGAAAAAAAAAAAGTTTCTTCCATCAACAGATTGGACTATGTTTGCATAGACAAAACTTAATAAATTTAAATGAAATTGATGATTTTATTAAATTTTATTTTACTTCTAAACTTTTTTCCCCTATTAAAACAAAATTCTTTTATTGCTAATTCTATTTTATTTGTTCAACTTAATCACTTTTTGATATTAAATAAAGGATTTAATAAAATATTTCAAATAAAACCAAGTAGAATTGAACTAAAAGATGACACTGTACTACTCTAATGTTATATATCTTGCATAAACACGTACGTAACAAGGTTCCTATTCCCTTATGCAATGATGATAGAGTATGAAAACCAAATGTGGACTTTAATTATCAGTTTAAATTATGTACGTAACAGTTGTTGCAAATGTGACAAAGTCACTACTCACTAGTTCAAATTTCATCTATCCCTCCTTTTGCTCTATAATAGGTAAACTAATCAAGTAATATAATTGGTTTACCCTAATTCAAGACATAGCATACCAAGGGGCGGTTGCTATTTGTACATTACCATATGACATTGAAGATGATAGTTGGCCTGGCCTCGTTATTTAGAAGTAATCATACCCATTATTATAGTCCACCTACATGATTTTCTAATTGAGGTTTTTTTTTGTTCTTCGTAGATATGAAAGATACACAAAGCATGAACGACACTAATGTCGTCATAAGCACGTATTATGTACACAATTGAAGGTATAATTCATTTGTTTGAATAAATGTATAAGATATAATACTTTATGATATTGCTTGAATATGACAATAACAGCCACGTCTAAAGATTTGTTTGGTGGAGTACCTTATATGTTACAATATACAAAGTCTTTCTTTCATGTATAAGTCAACCAATAAAATTCCCCTTATAATGCAGAGGAAAGTCAAACTACCTAAGTACCTAACTAATTTCATAGCATTATATATCATGCTAGTTTCCGTTTGAATAAATGCATAATTTCTGCATGATTTATTGCATCGCAACACTCTGCTTTGGGAGAAAAATAAGCCAAATTCCTGATTTATGATCTTCGCAAGGCCTATGGTGTAGAAAAAAGCACAACCGATACTACATCGAACGTGCATTGCCTATGTCGTGTCACTAATCAGCGACATAGGTCATCAATGGTATACATACTTGGTAGTGCTGGTTAAAGGTTGGAGCAACAAAATCGAGCTAATATATTCCTACCTGAAGCTTTTTCAATTCGAAATCAATAATGTATGGAGTGCTGGTTAAAAGTTGCTAAAACATTATCGATCTAACATATTTCCACCAAACAACATCTTATTCGAGACCAATAATAATGTAGTGTTGGTTAAAGGTTGGAGAAACATTATTGAGCTAACATATTCTATTTTGGCGATTTTCTAATTGGAGATAAATAATTTACGCATTTGTATAATTGTCTATACTCAATTAGCAGATACATGTATGGGAAAAAATTAAGAAGAAAAAAAAAATATTGACTATAAATAAACCATATTTCATTGTAACATGTAAATATAATTAGATTTTTGTGTATAAGAATGAATGAATACAAAAGGAATTTTGAACCAACCATATGAATGAATAAAATAACAATCAAGCTACAAAGAATATGTATCTAAGCTACAAAGAACTATGCTCGGTCAGTCACTTGAAATTAAAAGAATACAAAACTTCTTATATGAACAAAAAAAACTTCATTTGATCCTTGTTCTCTGTACAAGTTTTGTTAATTAGATTACATATATAATTAATTAATCACCACCTGTGATCAATAAGAGAAAATATTTCCTCCATCAGCAACCCTCAATTCTTCCAAATCCGCCCATTTTGTAGACGAACAAAAACACAACCAAAGAATCAAAAAGAAAAATATTAATTTAAGCCTCACAACGAAAAATCATATGCTCAAACCAATAATTTACGACGTGGATCCGGAGTTTAATTATATTGGTTGTCACTGCGGATCGGAGGTGATGGGGAAGGAATTGTCGATCTTGTACGAGTTATGATAATCCTACAAGATTATGTCATGTTGATTATCGTCGTGACAAAGTTCCTTCCTTAGTTTTTGAGAGAATAGTCTACAAGCATCCATGCTAAGATCAATGGCAGCTGAAAGTGCTACAAATAGTGCAGCATCTGCCATGCATGTGACATGCTGCATGCCAACCTGGACCAATGGCTTGCTTACTTTACCTTCCCCTTGGACCGTGGACCCCATTACGAATCCTCGAACCGGTGACCTCATGACCCCCTCTCCTAAGTTGGAATCGCGCTTATCAATGCAAAATTGTCCCCCCTTCTTGATGCTCATTGTGGCCTCGGCAATAGGAATGCCAGTTTGAGTTGGTCCATTTTCAGTGACCAACTCAAACTTGTAGCCTAGCCCATCAACTGGGCCTCTCTCACGCCATACCTCAAGCCGGCCCCATGGCTTCCAGCTACTAACGTGGGAGCCGTGGGGTCGGAGGATGAGCCAGGCACCGGGGTTTGACCGAGAGACTCGGTCAGACCCTGGAGATGGGACGAAAGGAGTGATGACTGATGCTGCTGCAACCGGGGATCCAGAGAGGTCGTAGATCATAATCATCCACCCCTTTCGCTCCCTCACTGGCTTATCCTTCTCTCCGGACAAAGATCTCACCATCCATTTCTTATTGCTATTGTTATTGCTTATGGCAAAGTTTGCTGGAAGTGAGCTGCAAAATCATACACAAAAAAAGTCCCTTGGTCAGTTACATGGTTCGTTACAATGACAATTAATAAAGTAACTTAAATCAAATGTTAACAATGGCATACATATCCAAGTTATTTTATTATTAAGCTAATAGTCCAAATTTTACTTACGACCCAGTTAAAGATCAGATCTTAATTAACTAGTGATTAAAATCAGTTCACTGAATATTGGTTTGCTTTTTAATTAGAGACAATTTGCATGCTTATAATAAGAACATATTGTGCTTATTATACAGTAGAACAAAATCAGAACATAAGAGAATTATTGAATCAATTAAGCACAATATCTAAGCACATGGGAAAGTAGTTGTGTTAATTGCAGCATATCACACAGAAGGCTTTAATGATCCTTTATTTTGACCAGCCTGGTTCCTAATTAATCGTAGTCTCGGCTTAATTATTTTACTAATTAAGTACTAAACACGACGTTCAGGGAATCTAATCCTCGTCAGCAATGTGGTTAGTTGCCTGAAAACTTGATGCAAATCACCATTAAAGGGGTACGGGTATCTGAGTAATCTTTTGATTAGTGCAACATACTGTATATCACAACTTGCTAGTAAATTAATTCATACTCCTAGTTGCTAATTAACTTAATCATGTACGTAGTTAATACGAGCATTGCTGCATTAACTACGTCCAGATCATTGACACGTACGTTCTTAGTATGTATTTATGTTAAATTTAGCATCTAATTAATTAAGGAAGATGTAGTTCATCATCTGACAAACTTACAGGCTGAGCTAGCTGCAAGCTGCTTTTAGTGATATACAAGAAAACATAATCAAGCATCGACTTTAAGCATGGATTTGCAGATTTAGCACCCACTTCACATGTGATATTTACAAAGATTCTGATTGTTGAACTTGGCTTAGAAGGTTAAACTTTTAGTGCTAAATAAGAAACATAATCAAGCACTAATCTGTAATTTGTTAAATAATTATATTAGCGGCTGCTTGACATGTGATGCTACAAAGATTCATATCTGAAATATTTAGGTCGGTGGTCAGAATCTACTCTTAAATTCAATATCAAATGAAGATGAGTTTCGAACCTAAACTTCAGGAAAGCAATAAAAAGGAAGGTAATACAGTCGAGTTTAAAATTTCAATAGACACATGATATATACGGGTTTTGAACCTAATTTTAGGAAAAACCCCCTGAAAGCAAGACCTAACTAAGTACAGTAGTATATACACTTATTAGCTAGCTGGCCATTGATATATAATTTGACTTGAGAACTAATAAATTTGATAGCAAAAAAGCACTAAGCTAAGATAAGGGTCAAATAAAATGACATTGGACCAAGAATATGTAATCCACATATTTATTTTTGTTCAAAAGGACTAATATGAATTTACTAAATGGTATACTCAAACAATTTTGCCGGGAAGATAAGGTGGTACACAGCTGGATTTAGCAAATGGTACCACAATTATATGATGAGACTACCCACATCCACATGCCTATTGTTTTTCAAATCAAACATCTAACCCCACTTTAATCCAAACAACCAACCAAACTAATGTACACAAAAACAAATTATTATGGCCCACCCACCTTCCCTTTTCGACCCCACATTTTGTAACAACTCAATAATCTAATCTAATTTAAAATGCACACGTTAGCATGACGCCTTATCTTAGGCTAAACTACGCTGGTGTTACACTTCTGACTTGCTGAAATGACTTTATTTAACTCAAAAAAACTCTCACACAATTTTGTACGGAGTAAATAGAGTGATTCTACTAGAACGGAGGGAATATAAAGTGGTCCGACTCATCAAGTGAATTACGTAGGAGTATTATTGAAATAATACAATGAAGTGCATGTTAGCAAATGTCATAATGAGATGATAAAGTGCACCGTATGAGAAACAAAAAGGAATTAAAGTTTACCGAGAGCGGGAGTTTCGGTCTGCGCTAAATTTGCAGCTAAAAACCGGTTGGCTGATGTTTCCTTGGATCTGAAATACAACCGGGCTACACTCCGGTTCACCACCAAACTGGAAAACGAACCGAGGGTCCGGTTCAGACCGGACCATCAAATGTAGCTTAGCATGATCAACTCCTTTGTTTTTCTCAACCCTTTTCTCACTTCCAAGCCTCATCCAACCGGATTGGAAAACAATGGGTTTCGCCTCGGCCCCTTTAAGGTCAACACATAGGTTAACTCGACCTAAGAGCTTACCAGTGCTCATTCCGCAAGTCTGGCCCATTCGCCCCGAGTACACAGATACTCGAAGCGAAACAGGCCTACCTGACATACGCCTAAGAGCCGCAGGGTCTAAATGAAACCCTGAGGCGCTTGTGGCAGACTCCAACGGATTGGAGGAAAGAGGTAGAAGGGCAGTTTGCGAAGCAAACCCCTTCAATGTGATCTTACAAAAACATGGAGTCGTACTAGGATGGACTCCAGCTCCCGATGAGGATCTCGCCCCCATTGGGAGCTGGAGTGCTAACGACTCGATTATTAACCTTGCAAATGGACATGGATCCATTATAGCATGAACAAATTGTTTAGAAGTAGTATTGTTTTTGAATGAAAGAAGTTTAATTTGTTTATTTTATAAGATGAAGAAGTTGGGTATGTGGTTTAGTTGATAGAGTGTAGAATGAGAAGAAATGAAACGAGTGGAATAAAGAGTTGAGGGAGTACTAATAGTAGCACTAAAAATATTATTTTAATAATAAAATGGAACAAATCCGAGCTGGAATCGCCGTTGCTTAGGATGCGCTTACTGTGATTTATTTGTCTGCGTATGATACCCTTTTTACGTTTTTTAATCAAAAAGTCTTATCTACATGGCATTCAGCTTATGATTTTTTTTTTTTTTTTTTTTGGCAAAAAAAACTAAAAATAAAAATATTTACCAGGGCACTAATTAAATAAGGTGTGGATTTCACATGCCTACTTCATATCCGGGAATATCGTAGTCGAGAAATTTGATTAACGATACCATATTTTAATTCTTTGTCTTATTGTCTATCTTTCTCTAAATTGTTTGGGTATTTGATATACTACCTCCAATTCTGAAAGTTAGACTCACTTAGTATTTATATGGTCAAAATAAATAACTTTGACCAAATTTTAAGATTTATACAATCAAAATAAATTAACAAGTTTGGTGTTATTAAATTCCCCTACTAATAAATTTTTTAAATATCAACTTTTAAAAAAATTTACTTATACATAGCCGAAGTTATTGATGGTCAAAGATTTTATTGGAGACCGTATAAATGCAAAGTGAGTCGAACTTTTAGCAACAGAGGGAGTACTTCATTCATTCCTTAAAATTTTCTTTTCCATCTTTCTCTTAATTTTTTGCATATTTGATATTCTTGTGTTACCTATCTTTATAGTTGTCTATATTGTTTGTGATTTGTTTTTTTTTTTTTTTTTTTGACAACATATTCAGCAATTGTTTGTGTATTTGATATATTTATCTGTTCCTTAATTTTTTTTTTTTTTTTTTTTTTTACTTTTCATAACAAATTAAAGCTAGTTGTTAAAATAAAAAGGTAGGTATGAAATGCATCTTTATTGATTTTTTTGTGGGAAATATAATGTTGTCAATTAGTTATGAATCTTATGATAAAGTGAAGAGATTAAGGAAGGGAATGAATACATAGACTTGAGATATATGATCAATAGAAATGTTTCCAAATTGTTACTTAGAAGAATTTAAGCGGCATTTACCTATGCTCTCCCTTCAAATAATTCTTCAAAAAATTATGAATATAAGTTAAAAGTTATTTAAGTTCAATATAATAGGTTATGTTGAAAAATCGATAGTTTCAAAGAGCCATATATTTGTGAATCCGTAAGATAGGTATTAATTCATATATATTTCAAAAAAAAAAAAAATATTAATTCATATACACAAATTCTTATATGTGATTGGTCATACCAGGTGGCCAACCATTATTAAGGTTACGTGGTCAGTGTTACAGAGGTTACTTCGTTAGTGTTATAGGAGTTACTAGATCACTGTTTAAGAGATTATATTATTCTTTTATAAGCGGTCTTATGGTGTGGCCAGCCGCACACAAAACGAGCTGAATTATATATATATATTAAATTTAACAAATATAAGATAATGAAAAACGATAAGGCCTAAGACTCAAGATAAATGAGAAGTTATAGTTTACCGCAAATAGATTATCTCCTGAAAATGGTAAGGTTGGCTAAGACGAGAAATTAGGAGCCGATTCCATCGTCTGTGGGCGCAGCATAACGGGACCCACTCGCCCCCACCAAACAGCTGGGGTTTGTATTATAGCCGATTAACTGATTCAACTCATAATAACATACCGGAGTACTACTTCGTATCTCACTTTGTATCTCCTAAAGATATCACCTATTTAATTATGTTTTTCGAAGCATATAATAATTGACAAAATGTTAAATAAGTGCTTGTTTGATGGGTATAAAAAAAATTAAATAATAAATAGAAGTGTATAAAAAAAGGTATACTCCTACTTCTTAAGAAAATTTTCCTAGTTGCAATATTCTATTGTGTTACAAATACGGAATAATAAGTACAATTTGTTGGAAATGGTAATGCAATCGGATGAATTGCAAGCTATTACAATCCACACTCGTGCCTGGTCGGGCGAGCTGTGCCTGATCGAGCGGATTTAATCGTTTTTGTAGGTACTCTCGTGCCCAGTCGGGCGGGCATCATCACCCCGACCGGGCGAACTGACGGCCCAGAAATTCTTGTGTTCTCGCACCCGACCGGGCGGCGAAACGATGAGAGTTACGAGACCGGTGGGCGAGGTTCGGCCGGTGGCTTGCCCGAGATTTCGCGTCGAGTGGAAGGTTCTCACCCGACCGGGCGCGGTTGCTTGTGAGAGGGAGACTTCACTCGGGCCCGGCCGGGCGGCTGGATGCCCGACCGGGCACATCTTTTCCTGGGGAGGGTCTGTTTGTATATTGTTTTCTATTATTGGGACTCATATAAATACGAGTGGTATCTTCTTCTTTTAATTATTCATTCATTCATACAAAATCAAAACACAAACCTACCCTTTGAGATCTGAACAGTTATTCGGCAATTTTAACCTTCGAGTCCGGGTACACGGATTGCGGAGGTCGTTATGTAAAACTTGGGGGGCGTGCGTCACTGGGAGATCTGTACCGGTGGTGGCGTATTTCGCTTCTAAGGCAGTGGGTTCCAAACCACGGCACAACGGAAAGAGGACAGGTCTTTAATTCGAGTAGGTGATCGAATTTATTCCAGGGAAGTTCCTGATTTGGCTAATGTTTTTCCGACAGAGTTAATCATTTGCAAACCCAAGTCAAATTGTGAGGAGGGAAAAGGAAGTAACTCTCTACAACCAGCTAGTTTAAGACTCGAGTTGGGACCTTCAAGTGTAGCTCCGAACCTCTTGCCAACACTTGATCAAGCATTTCTTAGCTTGATTAATGAATTGACTTTTTATGTGGTTGTATAAATAATGTCCTTAGGCTAGAAAAAGTCACATATGGTAATGATATAGATGAGATTTGATCTAATTTTATGTCTTGAATATTACTCTCAGACTTTAACTAATAAAGCTAGTTGAAATATACTTGTGAAGGTGTGATAATGAGGCCCTTTAACTAATAATACTTACATTTTTATAATCAGTTTAATTCATAAATGAGTAAGATTTTCAATATAATTACTCGTACATAAGTAGAATAAGATAGAAAAAAAAAATATTAAAACTATATTTTTAAACAAAGTTGGATTACTTATAGAGTAGGCAACAATTGTAGAATAACATAATGATTTTTGAGATCATCAATTTATTTTTCCATATTAAAAAAAAAAAAAAATCAATTTTTTTTTTATCTAATATACTCAGCTTGCATGGCTGTAATTTGTCCGAAATGTGGAGTACAAGTGTGCACTTTGTTGTTGAGTAGTACGATGTCTAAGGAAGGACTAATCACACAAATAAAGAAATATAAGTAATAATGGAGTTCAACAAAAACAAAACACATAATCTTCTAAATCAAGTTAGAGACGCTTTACAAAAGTGACACCCATAATTGATTTATCGTATTATAAAATACTCTTTTTTTATTTCTTTTGTAATTAATTAGTACGTAGTACCTTGGATTATTTTAAGTTTAGTTTGGTAGGTTTGGTGGCTTATATTATAATTATCATAATTTAAAGATTTAACTTTTGTGCCAAATTCTGCTCTCATTGCATTTCTTCATATTATGCAATATAATTGGATTATCTGCATGGATTATTTATTGATAGTCAAGGCTGTCTTGGATCATACAACATGTTTGTTTTAATAGCGTCAATGTTGTAGAAATATCAAATTTATATGACAAATCAAATAACAAAGAGTTTGTTTGGTTGATTAATTTTGGTAGGTTGGAGACTTAAGATCAATTATTATTCTTGTCTAAATTCAGTTTGTAAAGTTGGATGAGAATTTCTCTGCCTTGGTTGTAATATTGCATATAAGTAATGATATATATATAATTATTGGTTTGTAAATTTTCTATTGGAATAAACGAAGTATAATCCTACGATAATCCTCCCAAAAAGTAATAATACAAATTTAAGTTCATACCACTAAGTAGTTTTGGACTTTTAATTTGTCACGGTGTTTACTTACTGTTATACTAATTCTAAAAATCACATATAAGTTCAATAGCGTTTCATTTTAAAACCAAAACATAGGTAACATGTGCAATTACCTATCATCTTAGTGAATCATCATGCATCCTCCATTCTTATTATAATATAATGTGGGATAGTTAGTCCTAACTCACATATGAATTAATTTTCCGACAAACACAAATTACTCACGTCAGCACTCAACACACATAAATCACGTCAGAAATACTCAACCGTATGTCTTCATTGGTATATAAGATGTGCACCAAGTCATGGGAGTTCATGACAAGCAATATGATAAGGTTATTCTATATAAAGCACCATATTTTTATGACAACTAACATATGTATTAATATGTATATGCCATAGTGATTCTCTCAATAAAACCATAATATTATGAACAATACTATTTGGAGCCACCAAAGAAGAGTAGATGACAAAGCTATGATGTTAACAAGTGCAACCACCCCATAAAAGTGCGGACCGGAGTATGGGGACCTTAATTTGCTTATGGTTAATGAGTATAAGAACCAAGCGTGCACCCTATCAATGCATGTTGTATGCTCTCTCTTTGTTTTAAGCCCTAAAATGAAAATTGATGTAGGAAACACATACATCAATTTTGGTTGCATTTTCACGCTACATACCTTTCGCTGGATTAGGCCTGTAGTGGCAGGATGTATGTAGGTGTATGAATGGTCTATCGATAGATACATACATTAAAGGGGAGAAAATCGTGAAAATTCCTTTATTATTCTTTTAAAAAATAGTAGATGGATCAATGGTTTAAATTTCAATTCCAATTGTAAATGAAAATCAATGTTGACACTAACTCCAACATTAAAGTTTTTTGAGTGACCCTGTCTTATCTCGGGATTTAATAAGAATAAAAATGTCACTACTTACGTACATAGCTACATCCCTCCAAACAACCCCACCTCGAGGGGTTGCTCAAACAATTCGAGTTATCCCCACACTTATTAACTGCAAGATAATACGTCGCGTAGTATATTTACGGAGTATTGTACATTGTCAAACAAACGAGTGATAGTACACAAGGATTAAATTTCAAACTTCTAACAATTTGCTTACAGATTATTTTTTATAAATTGTGTATACTGATTTGAAATAGTGAAAGAAGTAGTTGGTTGGATTTGGATAGCAAGAAGTAGTTGTTTCAATGTTAGTAAAGATGAAGAATATGATGGAAGCAATTTTTTTTTTTAAACATATCTTACAAAATTACAAATAATGCGGGGCCAAGACATGTCAGCGGGGATAGCTAATCTCTAAGTTAAGTGATACTGATAAGTTTTTTCTTGGTTAATCATGTGCGACATCCGCCATTTAACTTGTTGATATAAGGTATGATCATACATTAATGTCCCCTCGATTCGTATATACATGCATGCAAATATGCAACGTAGGGCCTATTTTTGGATTGTCTTCAGAGATTAGTATCACATTCACAATTTAATAGTGATAAATTGCTCTTAGCCTCTTACTCCCCTTGAAAGGAGGGATATAATGGATGAGATTTAAACCTTCGATTTTGTTATGCTGACTTTTTATACAATTTAGAATTGGTTTTAATTAGGTATGAGATAGATTTGTCATTATCAACACTTACTACTTATCAATATGAGTAAAGTTATCTACTTTTTTACCTATCTTGTAGAATTCTACAATATATTCAATGATATAATTCGTGTAAGTATATGATATACAGATAAGTATCTATATTGATTACATGGACAAAATTTAAATCCTATTTGTATAGCTAGTTACTTATCAATTCAATTATGAATTCAGCTACTTTTGTGAATCATAAAAATTGAGTTAGCTTAATTATGTGATTGAAAACGTTAAGATAAGAGATATAGTTAAGTCCTACAATCTTTGTAGCTGTCTAATTGCCTCCACCTCCATCACCATATACATAACCAATGCCACTTGAGACTTGACCACCTCAGCAAGGTTGTCGCATCATATAGCTGGATCATGGAATGTCAGCCTGGAGACTGAGACATTGGGCCTATTGGGCCCCATTTGTTTTCACCAAATTTTGTCCGGGCCCGGACTGTGGGCTCCATTTAGTTGGGCCCACCTTGGACCACCCAGAACAAAAAAAATAAAATAAAAAAAATAATTTCATGAAATTTAATCAAGCCTGGCACCGCTTTTTATGATAAAGCCAAACCAACAACTCAACAAGAGTGAATGAAGAAAACTACTGTAATTAAGCTAACCAAACCAACTTATTAACCTAATATTTTTTTTTTTTTTTTTTTTTTTTTTTTTGAAACAAACTTATTAACCTAATATTATATATCACAATTGTAACTTATGATTAACCTATTTACCACGCCTTTGTTATGATTGTCCTGATTTTTTCCTTTCTAAGTTTGTCAAATCAAATTAATTTGTTAGTATAATGGGATATAGTCTCATAAAATACTCTTTACAAAAGAAATATAATGTCTAACATCATTATTCTCTTCCTCGTATATTATTAACTATGATGAAATATTTTGTTGATTGTTATACATACCTTCGTGTAGTGTACTGATCAGTGATACTCAATTAGCAAATTTAAACCTACTTGTACATATTGTACATAATATGTAGTACAAAGTTATGGAATTACTCAAATTTAATTTATACAATAGTATCATGCTTTAATTGTGAAGATAATTCTGTTATTAACGAATAGGATACTTTTTCATATAGGGTTTCACATAATTGTAAAATTGTCAAAAGTTTATCATTTCAAAATTTCAATAATACTCTTGTATGCTTTCATAATTCTATCTTACAGTAATGATCTATAAATAATCTTTAAAAGGAAAATGATATTCACAACATTTAGACATGTGCATAAGGAAGCAAAAGTAAATGTACCAAGTAAAAGCAAATACTAAGTACTAATTATACTTCGTATTAATTAAAACATAATTTTAACATACATTTTAAAATTATTCCAGTTAAAATGTATTTACAAGATTTAGATTAAGGAACTCTATCTAATACAATTTGAATATTTATCATGATTGGATAAATTTTCAAAGTAATAATGCAAAAGTCTTGATGTTCCTCAAATCGAGGAAAGCATTACCACATACTTGTATATTGCTTTCTTCTTAGTCATCCAAGACTATGGGCTAATTATTTTGTGTTTGTGGGGGCATTTGACTTAAGGTGAACTATCATATATGATGTGTGGATGATATCATAGATGATGTAAAAACGTAGATCGAGTTGAAACCATGAAAATTATTTATGGAGAAACAATTGAAGTCAATGGTTGAGTAGATAGTAGACTACTCCACGAAAGTAAATTGTACGTCTTGACGTTCTGTATATTCATCATGCATGCCTTGGTCATCAACTCTTGTGAATATGCACTAGCTGCTACCAAAAATATAATACGGAGTATTTATTAAAAAAATAAGAGAGAGAAGAGTTGTATTTGTGACATGATATACTTAGATCTGTTTTTTAAGCTGTTCTGTCCTGTTCTGCTGAGCTCTGCTCTGCTGAAATCTGTTCTACTCTGCTTAAAAGTAATAATTAATAATAATAATAATAATGCGGTAATAATAATAGTAATAATAATAATCAGCATCCATCTTTTCTTTATCTCCTCGACAATCAGCATTATTATGGAAATCGCAGCAGGGAGATCATACCTCTTCTTGGCTTCGGACGGTCCCTATTTCGGGGTTGGGTCAGATGATGAACGCAAAGTCTTACCGATGTGTATTGTGTTACCGGCTGAGTGTTCCATTGTTCTCTGTCTTAACGCCTTGCTCTGCTTGTTCAAGGGTTTTTACAGGGTATATCTTCGATGATCATGCGGTGTCGTGTGCTGGGTATTGTGGGTATTAAACATCGACATAATGTTGTCGGGATACCCTTGTTGATGTTTGCTATCGATCTGGGATTTCAGCTAGAAAAGAAGTTGGCATTGGGTTGTCTGGAGGGAACGACAGAGCCCTCAGACCTGAAGATGTGTTACTTTATTTCTGGGATCGTGGTCGCGATGTTTGTGTTGACTTGATAAAGTCATCTCCTTTGACACAATCTGGGTTATCTGACTTTGTTGCTAGACGGGTTGTGGCTGATGCGGCTCATCGAAGGCGGGTCAAGTACGAATCTAGTTTTCGAGCAATTGGATATGGTTTCCTTCCTTTCTCTTTTTCTTCACTTGGGGAATTAGAGAAGGAGGTTGTTGCATTGCTCAAGCGGGTTCATAACTTCTCGGCGACTTTGAACATTGGGGCACGTGCTACTGCACATATCTTCACTAGAGTAGGCTTTGCTATAGCTAGAGGAGTGGAGGCCGAGATTGTATCTCGGCTTCCCACTAATTTTTTAAAGGTTGTATGACTTTGTCTGTTTTTGAGATAATAATAATAATAATAATAATAATAATAAACGTATCGTGTCGTGTTGACCCATTTAATTAATCGTGTCGAAAATCCTTAACACTAACCCACTTTTTCGTGTTCGGTTTGTGTCGTGTTGTCGTGTTAAATTGAAAAATATTGGTTTTGTTCAGTATACTTATCAAAAATTCCATAAATTATTGGGTTTTTATATTAGGCGGGTTGGATCGTGTTAATTTCGTGTTGAGAATCTCAACACTAACCCAACCTGTTTAATTAAATGTGTCGTGTCGTGTCAGTGTTTGTCAGCTCTACCATCGAGTCGAGGAGCAGTGGCTTCTTATTTTCTTAAGGAACCATTGTTACTTTGTTAGGCCCATTTGAAGCCCACAATATGAGGCTGTTAAACCTGAAAAGGCCCAATTTATTGACCCACAAAAATCGCAAATCCTGGCCCAATACAACGTGGTCAATACTCAATGCGTTAAGCCGTTAACAAACAAAATGCGTCAACAAAGTCTTTCTTTGCGAAGTTTCTGGGTTATGACATTAACGCAAACCCAAATTAAACCAAAATTTTGTATTTCCTGCATTCAATTTCTTCTTTGTTAAGCACAATTTCTTTCTGAACTTTCTTCAGATACAAATTAGAAGTTTTCCGAATCTGGGGTTTTGCTCAATTTGACAAATTTTCAACTCGTTTGGTGGGTCATCATCAATGTCTTCTCCTCAAGAGTACACCCTTTTTCTCTTTCTTCATTTTAATTCGTAATTTTATTTGGTATTGAATTGTGTTTTTGATTAATGGGGGTGTTTGTTGATTGATTTTGATTTCTGGGTTACCTTGATTTGGGCTAGAATGTTTGATTTGAGTAGAGTTTTGTGTTGAAATGTTGAATTTGGGGCATGAAATTGAATGCAAAGTTACATTTTAATGCGGTTGAATTGCAATTGATGTTATATTAAATGTGACTGAATCATGTTCTACTGAGAATTTTTAGGTACTTCTTTTGTTCGGGTTTAGTTGTCGCATTACTAGTTCATGGTTTGTTATTAACGATTTAATGTGACTATTAATTCCAAACAGGATATTTAATTATGATTCCGAGATATTGAAAGAAATTAGTTAAATCGGAAATAAGTTGGTGTTGAAGTGACTTCTATGAATGTGATCAGTTGTACCTTCTTTTCTTGATTAAATTCTTTGCGGAAGATTTCTGGAAATGCTTAAGTTATTGAGCTTTGAAAATCATACTGGCTTACTGGTGCTGCCAATATCGTAGTATGAGCATCAAGATTGCCTCAGAACGTTTTGTTGGTTTATACCCTTGAATAGAGGCTTTTGCACGATCTTAAATCATACAGGATGAAATAGTTAATTTCACGCGTACATTAGTTTGGATCGGAGAATTTTAGTCCATTCTAGTTACTCTAGACCACCATAAATAGAATCAACCTTTTATCAAAAACGTTCGTTTATGATTGTGCTCTCCATGATACCCTTACCACCAACTTAGTGTAAAGCTTTGATGATGGCTTATCGAATGCAAGTTGAAGATACTTATGAAAATTTATACACTTTTTGAGGTTCGACCTGCCGTATAAGTTTTCTTGAAGGTGTACAAAAAAGTCTTTAGAAAGTCTTGGATTTGATCAGCAATTAATTGGAGTGTTTGTCACTTATAGTTGCATTGCTGAGCCTAGTAGATGGAGCATTAGTCTGGTATTACTCTGGTTTTGTCTAAAATTAAAAACTAACCTCTAGGCTCTAGTAATGGATGTTTAAGAACTTTTATTCCAAGACACCCTTATCAATTCAATTATAAGCCCTCAAAATAATTTGGTTGTGGCGTTTTGTCTAAAATAAAAGACGATGGAAGCTGAAGCAAACACATAATTTTTTTTTATTATATACTCTGTAGTGGTTTGAGACAAAGTCAGAAAGCGGAATGTACTCTGTACACTGGTACTGCTTCTATTATATTTGATCCTTTAAGGTTTTCTGGCTAAAGTTTGAAGGGTCAAGTAGAAATTTGGGAGTATTTTATCCTTTATCTTCTTGAATTTTCTCTTGATGTGATTTTTGTTAGCTATATCATATTATCATGAGTTCATGACATAATTTGAGTACTTCACATCTGATAATTGTCAATTTGTCATACTTAAAGGTCAATCTATTGGGATTGGTCAAATAAGACTCCTAATGGCTTATTGGTTCATACAGTAAGTATTCATTTTAAAGAATCTTACTCTTAATACTTGGAAAAGTTTCAACTATTAATAACATGAACACCATCTACCATGAACATTGTAGGAAAGTTTTATTTGAATACTTGTCGCAGAGTCTTGGCAGTAACAGACTAAGAGTGGAGTGTGTTCAACAGTGGCAGTCACACTAAAAAGTAATGGTGGTGGTTGTGCTAGTCTTTATGTAAAACTGAAAGTAGTAGTCCCTGTCTTTTTTTTTCCCCCGTGTATGGTTCGTCCCCCTCCCCTCCCCCATAGTTAGTTTTGCACAACTTTTTCTTAAAGATTACAAGTATTTTGTTTAACACTTTTGAGCACAGTGATTTCTTTTAAGCTTAACTTTTCCTTAAAAAGTTGAAAATTAACCAGATTGACTAACTCTTGCTTCAGAAGCTTACTGAGCTTTTTGTTTGAACATAAGATTGCTTTGTGGTTATGTACAAATCTTTGCATGTATATATATTTGCAGAGCCTATCTTTTTTTTTTTTTTTTCTTCTTATAGTTGTAGACTTACTCCTAGCCAGCATTTTGTTTTGCCATCATTCTGCTGTTTGGCAAGTTTATAACCTGTTATAGTTATGTTTGTCCGCTAAACATAACTCTATGATGTTCATTTCAGGTGGTATAATTCACTCCCTCCAATAACCAAGGGCTACGGGACCCTCTGTCTTTTGTTTACCACTGCATATCAACTGGGTGTTCTCAATCATTACTATATTGCATTGCTGTATGGAAAGGTTTTCAAGAATTTTGAGGTAGATTTCACATTTCGTCAGTCGCCAGTATGGGTTAAGCACCCTTTGTTTTTTTGTAGCATGTGAATCTTTATTGATCACTAACATAGTACTCCCTCCGTTTCATATTGTTCTTCTCACTTAGAATCTTTTTGTGAGACAAAATTGGTCAAAGCGGTAAGAATAATATGAAGCGGAAGGTTTACCAGCTATTCAATTCTGCATCGTGTTTCACAAGTATTGAAAATTGCCTTGGCCACCCCCCCCCCAAACAAATTGTTGCTCCTGACTTATCATGTCTCTTTTAAATTTTAACCCCAACTTTAAAATTTTACAAACGTTCACAAGAAATTGGGGCACCTGTGGAAGGGGTTGAAGGTTTTGACTCTTTTGAGACTACATGTTGAATTACTGGGTTGATGTGGGGTTTCGTATCTAAATGGGGATGAGCGGGTCTTGGTAGGGTGGTCCTAGTTTCAGATGGCTGAAAGGGGGTTGTAGGTATGGACATTTTTAGATATTTTATAAGTGGGGCTTCAGCTACCATCAAGGCAGAGGAGCACATATGGAAAAAGGATATTGGAGATTGATGAAGCAGGTTGGGGGGAGGGGGGGGGTGTTGGAAATGGAGAATTTTATTAGATCTAAATTGTTGTTTGGGGAGTTTAAATACTACTTACTTCTGGTTAGCTTGTTACCAAGGCAAGTTTGATCTCTAGCATGTTGACATTATGTCAAGGTCAAAGTTAAAGCAGCTTTCCTCGAGTTCCTTTATTTTGTCATACAGATCCAGTGGTTTACTTCTCTTCTCTATTTTTCCTTAATTTATTATACTTATTCATAAGCATACTGGCTGTGATCAGCAGAAAATTTAATTTTTTTACAGTCATTGGCACCTTCATTCTTCATTTCTTGTTGGTCTTACCTGATTGTTAGCTATTGCTTTTTTAACGATCATACATTGTAACCAGGTGTGGCGGCTCTTTACAAACTTCTTTTTCCTTGGTGGGTTTTCTATCAACTTTGGAATTCGCTTGCTAATGATGTAAGTAGAATGGCTAGTTATTAATTGAAGCAGTGTTACTGTATTTTGCCCCCGTCTTTTTTTTCCCCCCATTTGGACCTTGTTTTGGGCTGGGGGTTTTTGTTAGTGATTAAATGTTACCACAAAGCATGGAAAAGGGAAACTCTGTTCAGTGCTAGTTTTGATTTTATATGCCATTTATCTGATCTGTTTTTTTTTTTTTTTTTTTTGTTTTTGTTTTTCTTTCATTAATTAAGATTTTTTTTCAATCATTGAGAGATTAATAGCAGAGGAAAAAATGTCCTGTAACTTATTGTCCTCTGCTATTAATTAAGACTTCATATTCACTTGTCTTTAACATTTAAAAAAGGCTTGGTTTTAATTTTTAAAAATTGTGTAACAGAGCAAGATATGGAGTTCAATTGGAGCAGGGACCATTTCAGAGGCGAACAGCAGACTTCTTGTGGATGATGATATTTGGAGCTTTAAGTTTGTTGGTAAAAGAGTACTTGCATGTTTCAATTTTCTGCTTTATTGGAATTTTCTTGTTTTCAAAAAGTTGGTGTACCAAGGGTTAATGATTTAATGTTGATAAATTACTCCCATATTTCATAGTGTTTCAGGAATTGCCCTTCTGAATCACAGAGAGGGCTTGTCCTTGTGAATTTTAGAGAACTATCTATCTAAAAAATAGAAAGTTGAGTTGCTGAAGTTGATGTATAATAAAATGAGCATAACACATCAATTAAAAAAAAAAAAAAAAAAAAAGGAATTAAGGTTTTTAGGCTAGTGCAATGGATAACCAACTATTAGATAGTACTCTGGAATCATGTGTTTGGGTTCTGGACTTCTGGTTCATGGAATTAACGACCTGAAGCCTCAAAATAAATATCATATACACTTAATAATCTAGTTTTTTGATTCTGCTATACTTTGTATACAAGGGGGAAAGCTTGAATTTGTTATTTTATGGCTGATGGATTTTTCATATAATTGATCGCGAATTGAGCTAGCTGATTTCTTTCTCTTCACCTCATAAGATGCGTTCCTTGCAACAATTGTCTTGAACTGTTGTTATGTTGATAACGGCAGATGTAACTGTTGTATAATTGATAAGAATTCGGTGTAACCATTTTTATACCCACATTAGATAGCTTTCTTGCAATTAATGTTGCTGGAGCTTGTTGATTCTGACCTTCCAGCTACTCTTGTCAGTACCCTTTCTCAATGCTATTACTTTTATAATTATGAGCTAAGAACTAATTTGACGATAAATGTTTGGCCTTTTTCGTCGTCTGTTTGTTTGGAGCAATTCATTATTTTACCTTCACTTTTAGTGTATTTTCATTCTGTTACGGTGTTACCTTAAAGTTTGAAGATCTCATTCTACCATTTGACATTTCCCACATCTGTTGTTCATCCATTAAGTCTAGTTGATTATCAGTCCATTTTAAATTTTTAACTGTTAATATAAGTATGAAGATGATTTTGTATTCTTTGGGGAGCCATTAATGCTGTTTTTGTCTTTGTGCTATTAGCAAGGCATAATTTGAACTAATAGTTAGCAGAACTTAATGCTTTTGTTGGGAGTGGATATTAAAGCTCAAAAATCAATGCGTTGGGATGACAAGTACTCTCTTTATAATAATATAATTTACGAACAAATCTAGCAACAAAATTCTTGTTTCTTGGTATTATTTTCCACCTGCTTGCTGGTTACTTTGTCTTTTTTGCTTATGTGTTGTTGTGGTTGCTAATTGTGTCCGTTTTTAGCTCTCATAGTTTCATTTCAGTCTTTCGTTTTTCACTGATTATCCCTTTGTTTCATCTCTATGATTCCCAGGCATTATATGCTATCCCCTTCTTTGAATTACACTTCGGTGGAATATCGCTTGTCTTCATGCTTCTTTATGTATGGAGTAGAGAATTTCCGACTGCCAATATCAACTTATACGGCCTTGTCACCCTAAAGGTAAGTAGAAAATTTACTGGTCTTGCGTCCTTATTCTCGTTTTCTTTATGCTCACTGCTTCACAGGTGTGCAAGTAAATTATTTGCATGTATTGATATTTGTTTTGCCCTGCAGGCATTTTACTTGCCTTGGGCGATGCTGGCATTAGATGTTATTTTTGGTTCTCCTATCTTGCCAGACCTTCTTGGAATTGTTGCTGGACATCTGTATTATTTCTTGACTGTACTTCATCCTCTTGCTGGTGGAAAGATGATTCTGAAGACGCCTGCTTGGGTGTATCCTTTCTCTATATTTTTTCTTGGTTATAGATAATATTTCATTTTGCATTCAGCTGAAATTTAGTGGCTAGCAAGCTATGAAGGAGCAACTAGTCACTCTTGATTTTTTCTTGCTTTGCATCCTGTTTGTGTAAATAGTTAGGTAGTTGATAACTTAGTGGTGTTAAGAGCAAATCCTTTGAGAATGTCCTTCCGCATAGATCTGTCTCCTTTGCTGATATTTGCACCTAGTTTCTCCAAGTTGACTTTCTAGCCACTTAAAATGTCTTATATACTAGTATACTTAGGAATAATTGATACCATACTGAGGCTTTTTAATGTTGCAGCCTATAAGCATGTTCTGTAACCATTACTCGTGCTTTTACACCAGTGTTTGCTTTGCTGGTTTTACCAGTTACATGCTTATTGTTTTATTCTTTTATGCTAGCACTTTTGTAAGACAGGCTCATCGTGTCTCTTAGCGGTACCTTTAGATTTAGAGATAGATAGGATCATCCGTCACTAAAATAGGCCACTTGTGTTTTGTGCAACTTTTAGGTTTTCTTGGCTACTATTTATAAATAGTTCAGGATTAACTCTTTTTTTTTAAATACATATTTTGGTTTATTTTATGCAGTTGTAGTGATGGATATAACATCTCTTGCATTATCATTGATTTCATGGTGAGATGGTCTCACAATATGATGGAAGACCTACTTTATCCACTTTATTCTTAAAGGAAATTTCCTTAACTGCCTTTTGTTACAGACGTAAGATAGTTGCAAGATGGAGAATTGGAGCTCCAGCACCCACCCGTCCAGTTGCAGGTGCTGGCAGTCGTGCTGCCCCAGCTCAGCCAGAGAGAGATACAGGTGTTTTCAGAGGGAGAGCTTATCGTCTCAGTGACTGAACACGGGCCTGCAGGTATAATACAATACAAAATGATCCCATTCGAAGCTTTTCCTTAGACGAGCAACAACGATTTCATTAGAAGTTTTTGGCGAATCTAAAGCAAAATGGTTAATGTATCACTTTTAACATTCCTCGGAGGGAAATGAACATCATACATCAACTGCCTTAATTTTTAGGAAATGAACATAATCTAGTTCAGTTGATCCAACCAGCTGTTGATGGATGTATTTCAAGTTTCGCTTGAAGTTGTAGTGGATGATGAAAATGTCAAAAGTTCCTGCTCTTTTTGTGGTTTTGATTTGTACTCCTATACTAATTATACAAGGTCGTGCTGATTCAAGCAAATCGATTATGTTTCAGGTGATTTGGGCGCTAGTTATTCTCTGAAAAAGTATTGAAACTCGGTCGATTTCAGGCTGAGATAATGATTGAAGCAGCAGTGACTTTGCATCTTAGTTGAAGATAGTAAGGTTATGTCGAGAGGTAACATGATAATAATAACTAATTAAATTTATATATAAATAAAACAGAATAAAGAAAAGTGGTAGAGACCAGCCGTGGTTGACCGGAACAGTACCAATCAGTACCTCCGAAGCCTCACACAGTGGGTTTTCAACAACAACAATTTAATAATTCAAGCTCAGAAAATTCAGATTAGCTATTTGTAATTAATTCGTAGTAGAATAATAAATGAGGATGACTGATTGTAATCAAAAGTAATAGCTTGAGGCTATCAATCTCACGAGTAGCTTGAGGCTACAACTATCCAATGTGTTTACACTCAAGTGTCTGGATGCCTCCTACAATTACCACCCTTACAATATATTACAATCTGATTTCCTCTAATGCTAAAATTAGATAACACAAAAGCTGGGGAAACATAAAACTGAAGTCATATTCCCAAAAGGTGAAAGTCCTGTGACTTTGTTTCTTTGCCGAAATTGGTTGTGCTTCAAAAGTACCCCTCCTTCCTATGCTTGGTCTGCTTTCGACTTCTCTGAACTCTCTTCTTCTTGCTGCTGCTGTCCGGATGCTTCTTGGAGCCTTGTGATTTGTTGTCTTGGTCTCCAGGTATATGCCTGAAACGGTTGACCCGTATTTGGGTCCATAACAAAAAGTATACGGTGATCCGGAACATATTAATTAGGACATTCAGGAGTATAGGATTACTTTGACTAGGTCATTAAAGATTAAACCCAATTACCTTGGGCAAAATTATTTTCATGACTTTAATATATCAAAATAAACTCCATTAAACGGCAAAAATATCGACCACTGTCTACTAAATAACAGCGTAAAATGTTAAAATATTTTTTTTTTGTTTTTTTTTTTTTTTTTTTTTTTTTTTTTTGTGAATTACCTTAGGCTTCCGGTTTGAGAATCGAAAACTTGATCCTGTCAAATTTGGGTTTTTTGTTTCTAAAGCTCCCTTCAGGACACAATTGTTATCAATAACGTTGGGCCTAAGATCTTGGTCGGTAGGGTTGACTTTACCCTCCAAATCCAAAGAATTGCCATCAACATTCTTTTCCATTTTGGTGTCGTCTTTCACTCTTTCATATCTATATACCTTCGAACATGACTATCACCACGACCATCTCCTTCCTTTCTTTTCCCTTTTTTTTTTCCTAACTTCCTACCATTATCTTCCTTCCCACAATGAACATAATCTCTAAACTTCTCATCCTCCCTTGTTACTGCAAGTGCCTCATCAACGAAATCCGGAGACCAACCCAATAAGGATATCAGCTTCTAGTTTTTGTTGGAACTCACTGTTGTTGGGATCTATTTTAAGGGCTTGTGCAAGATCCATGAAAGCTAAGGTAGTTTTATTGAGCTCTAACGCTGCAATCGCACTTTTGAAGTAAGCTTTCACATTAGTAGTATCAAAACATAAAACTGCTGAACATAATTGACCCACTCTATCATAGTCTTTCACCTTGATGAAACAAGCACCCAAGTTGAGATTAAGGGACACAGCTATGCCCGAAAACATCAATTTATCCTCATCACTACAAACTGAAGCAAATGACAACATCTTAAGAGCAAGAGAGTATTTTGCAATAGCAAACCCCATTTGATTCTGCTTGTAGAACATGTTTTCCTCATCTTTTAAACTCTAAACAAAATTGAGAATACCAAAAGGATTCTCCAACTGCCCAACTATAAACTCCAACCCATGAGAAGAGACATCATGCTCTTCAACATGTACTCCGCTTAGTTCCTCAACGCCAGCCATAAAAACTTTAAACAAATCAGATTAAAACACCAAAGACAAAGCTAAAACTAAACCACTAGGCTTTCCCTTAATTACACAAAAATGCTGACCATACCAAGAAGATGAGAAAGCCGGCAATGAAGGAAACCTGTACTCCGCTTCATCTTCACCGATGGGACAAAAGAGGTAACTGGTGGCTAAAAGAAGGCGCTGAACTAGTGCACCTTTGAACCTTGAAACAAGTCGCCTGAAGAGGCCGAAGAAGAATCCCCCAATTGAAACCCTAACCCTAACTATACTTCGAAAATTCGAAGCGTATGGATTAGTCTTAGGAGAAAACAGGGTCTAACCAAGCTTGGAACCTTCGAAGAATGCTCACCGGCGACCTTATAAGAGCAGCAAAAACATGGGGGTGGGGCTGTGGCTCTGTTTTGAAGAGAAAAGGCAGAGCTTTTTTTTTTTCTTCGTTAAGTCAGCAGAAGTTATGAATTGAAGTTGGATCATTGAAGAAATAACCGACTTTGAATTAGATTATCGGTGAATCATAGATGACTAATAATTTGGATTCTACCATACTTCAATCCCACTTTGTGTTATCACTTTGTTTTTGTTGATTAAATTTAACAGTACATATATTTATCATCATTCTAGCTTAGTCACCTTTAAAAGTATAGTATTAAATTCGCAGTACTATTTTTGTTTTAAATTATTTGTAACGATTTGACATAAAGTGTGAGTATAATATGTCTAATCGTTGCAAATAATTGAAATGAAGATAGTATAATAAATTGCACTTTTATTAGGGAGATGTTCATTAATGCAACATTAGAAGAATAATCAAGTTAAGCTGAAAGTGATAAAAAAAATTGCACTTTTACTAGGGAGATGTTGGATAGATGTACAAATCCTTTGACCATCACTCTTAGCTTTCCCCGCACCCTCAAAGTGACAAATCTATTAACACAATTATGTTGACTTGTGCAAGATTCTGACTTGTTATACAGTAATAATTCTCCTTAATTTTATTTTTATTTTTTATTTTTATTTTTACATATATAGAAAAGAAAGATAATCTAAGTAGTTTTAATCACATAATCATTTCTTAACGGAAAACAAAATGTTGAAATAATAATAAGTTTGGCAAACTTGACTTTTCAACTCATTCTTAGTTTCTTAGATATAGTAAGATAAATCTTGAATACTTATGTAAGAATAGTCAAAACCTTATCATATGGTCAACAATTCACACCATAATTTGAGTACAAGGACCACAAACATACACTTGCTATCACAAAGTTATAAATACTTCCTACTATTGATCTCAAAACATCATCAAGTATCAATGGCTTCACTTAAGAGTTTGATCATTTCCTACATTACCTTACTTTCTCTTTTCCATTTCGAGTTTTCGAATGCTGTTAAGGGTGGCTATTGGTCTCCTGATAATGGTCTTAAAGCCTCAGACATCGATTCCACTCTTTTCACCCATCTCTTTTGCGCCTTTGCCAATCTTAACTTACAAACATACCAACTCACAATTTCTCCGGGATGCCAAACCTTCCCTCGAACCATCCGACAAAAGAACTCGGGGGTCATGGCCCTCTTATCCATCGGTGGAGGGAGCGCAAAATCCTCTGATTACAACAACATGGCTAGCCAACCTAGTTCTCGAAAAGCCTTTATCGACTCCTCGATTAGCCTTGCTACGAGTAATGGTTACAACGGGCTAGACTTAGATTGGGAGCAACAGTCTAAGACGGAAGAGATGGACCACTTGGCAACCCTCCTAACCGAATGGAGGGCCGCAATAAAGGCTCAGGCTCCGAACTTGATCCTGACCGCGGCCCTTCATTTCAGACCTATGGCTAATTCAGTAGCTACATTCCCTGCCAAAGCCATTTCCGATAACCTAGACTGGGTGAATGTCATGGCTTACGACTTTTATGCACCCGGTTATGGTCCGCCGCCATATTTTACTCGACCTCATGCGGCCCTCAATGATCCAACCGGCGCCAAAGTGAGCGGAAGTGATGGGATTAATGCTTGGATCAAGGCGGGTGTGCCGGCTAATAAACTCGTGTTGGGTGTCCCCTTTTACGGTCACGCATGGACTCTGGCTAGCTCAAATAACAATGGTATAATGGCACCAGCAACTGGTAATCAAAACACTTATGTTCCGGAGGGTACACCTAGCTATACGCAAATCAAGAAGTTTATTAGTCAAAATGGTGCAAAGGTTGTGTATAATTCTTCTTATGTTGCTTATTATTGCTTCTCTGGGACGACTTGGATTGCTTACGATGATACACAGGCCATTGCTACTAAGGTTGCTTATGCCAAGAACACCGCCTCGTTGCTTGGATATTTCGCTTGGCAAATTAACCAAGACCTTAATTGGGCTCTTTCTACAAAAGGTTTGTTCAAAGTTTTTTTTTTTTTTTTTTTTTTTTTTTTTTTTTTTTTTTTAATTTTTTAAAAAATATGTTTATTTAAGTGTCTACTTAGGCTATATATATTGAGTCAATAACAATTGGAAGTTTAAATCAGTAAAATTCGGTAACCTTATTGGACAAGCATAACGTGATTAGTTAGTAAAACATAGTTTAATAATGGGAAATTCTCTTTGGTAGCAACTATTTTTTAATCTTTCTCTTTGGTAAAATGTTAAAAAAACTTATTATATATGGTAAGCTTGTATTATTAATTACCAAAGATAATAATTATTTTAACTAAAATATTTAACCATGGTTAGTTTAATTTATTTTTTTAACAATAAATTTTTTTAAAAAAAATCACCCCTTCCACCACCAGCAAGCCACCCCCTGCCAGAACCCAGCCATCGACGGCCCAGCCCCCCTCCCCTAGACAACCCCCTTCCTTTCCTCCCCTCCTTATTTCCCTCACCCATTCCCTTTCCTCTACCCAGAACCCACTCCCTGTTTCCCCCACTCCGAAACGACCACCCCTCTCCCACCCACCGCGAAACGCACCCCCAAACTCTAAACCCCCACTTGATTAATCCTATTATTTCTTATTTAATTGTGTAGATTAGGGTTCCGATTGCCTTAAAATTTGCAAAATGGTTCGAATTATATTGTTCGTATTTTTTTATGGTGGTGAGGTGAGACAAAGGAGAGAAGGGATGGAGGGGAAAGGTCGTTGGTGGGGGGGGGGGAAGCTCAGTGTCTGGCGGGGGGGGGTTAGCGCCGGTGAGGTACGGGGCTGGTTTGCTGGCGGGAGGAGGGTGGCTGGTGGGGTGGGGCTATAATTAATGGTTTAATATAAAAAATTATCATTAATGTTATAAGTAACTAAGCGTTAATAATTCATGATTTTTAAAGATGATATATATATATATATATATATATATATATATATATATATATATATATATATATATATATATATATATATATATATATATATATAGACGGGTACCCGTACCGTTAATACTATCGGTTCGGGTACCCGATAACCAATAACACTAAAAATGATATTCATTACCCGAACCAATAAGTTCGGGTACCCGAACTTCGGGTACCCGGATTTTCGGTTCGGTTATCGGGTACCCAATATGATATCCAATAATAAAAATTTAGACTGTATAATATAGTTATTATGATATCATTCAACACTAATTAGCAATAACACCACATGATCATGACCAAATTACTAATAATTACTAATCATTTAAATTATGAAGTGATTACGAAGTAAAATAATCGTTTAGATTTTGAATAAATAGATTTAAGTACGAAAAAAATAAAATTGCTTATCGGAACGGATCGGGTAACCGTTAATTTTAAAATGATACCCGATAACCGTACCCGATAACAAATTATCGGATCGGGTACCCGAACCGTTATGGTTATCGGAACGGGTACCCTAATTTTCGGTTCGGTTACGGTTCGGATTTTCGGGTTTTCGGATAATTTTGCTCACCCCTAATATATATATATATATATATATATATATATATATATATATATATATATATATATATATATATATATATATATATATATACATACATATATATATATATACATACATATATATATATATACATATATATATTTCAATTCACCAAAGATAAAAATAAAAAGTTAGGCGTTACATCAAAGAGAATTTCCCTTTGATAATTCGATTTATCTAAAGCAAATTAAGTTGAAGATAACATAATTTTACTTGACTCATATATACTTGTACATGTGCAACAAATTAAGTTGAAGAGAACATGATTTTACTTGACTCATATATACTTGTACATGTGCAACTGTGTAAGAGTTATGCTTATGCATAAATAAACATTGTATACATTTCGAAACCCACTACAAATTAACACCTCAAATAATGTAGTTGATGCTTATTATTGATTAGAATTAAGAAGGGCTAACTTCAAGTAAATTTATTTGAATGTTGCAGCTTCACAGACATGGGGATCATAGACGACGAGTGTCATAGCTAAAAGAGAACAAGTATGCATGGAAAGAAGTTTAAATAAAGTGTGCTGAACATTATATGTTATTTTTATTTTTATAATAATATAAACTAATTAAAAGTTTTACGTTTACTTGAGTTGTATGTATATCCACTATACTTTAGTAACTTTACTCTTTCTGTTGTACGGAGTATTTTCTTCTTCCTATTTTATTTTTTTTATTTTTTATTTTTTTTTTCTCTATCACACAAAAAGATTAAAGATCTCAAGAAAAATAAAAAAGGGCGGAGCTAGTCGTTAACTCAGTTAAGTATTGATGTTTACTATTTGAGGGCTATTTTTGTATTTTTATTATTAATAAATATGTAGTAGTTGTCATAAAAAATAATTTGGTCACACGTAGAAAGGTTAAAACTTCTAAAAAGTAACTACATCATACGGAGTAAGACCCTGTTCAATTCATTTTAAAAAAATAATTTTCAATAAAAATAATTTCAGTTCAGTAAAAATCAGTAACTATAAAGAAGAAATATGACTGAAAATCAGTAAAAATAATTTCAGTTCAGTAAAATTAATTTTATTTTAACAAAAATAATTTCATTTCAACAAAAATAATTTCAATTCAGTAAAAATAATTTCAATTCAGCAAAAATAAGGTGAAGTCAACAAATCCTAAGTCCAGAAGAAAAATTATTTTGACTTTCATTATTTTATTTAATCACATATAATTCTTCGTATTTATGGTTAAAAATATATATTGGATATCGTAACAATCAAAATGTAACAAATAAAAAGAAATAGGTATAGATAATACAATATTCTGGAAGATTGTATAATATGGTAATTAGGATTCTTTTGACTTGATCATTAAACCCAAGTTACCTTTGACTTGGGCCTTTTTCATGACTTTAATATCAAACAAAACTCAATAACATCCACCAAAATGTAATAAAGTCAGAATAAAAAGTTATGAAGATGGATTTGGATCAGTGAAGAAACAACCAACTTTGAATTAGATTATCAGTGACTAATAATAATTTGGATATACCACTTCAATCCAATCATTTATTTTTTTATTAATTAAATTTAACACTATGATCTATATATCATCATTCTAGCTTAGTCACCTTTAAAAGTATATTAGTATATACTCCCTCCGTATTTATTACTTGCTTCATTTTTCCATGCGCGAAATTTTAAAAGAAATAGTACAAAGTAATAAAATGCAGTATGATGGAAATAGGGTTAGTTGAAAAATAAAATTTAAAAGTGAGTAAAAGTGGAGAGGATAGAGAATATTAAAAAAATTAAAATATGATGTAAGGGAACCACTTAAAAGTTTCCAAAAAAGAAAATGAAGCAAATAATAAAATACGGCTGTAAAAGAAAAGTAGAGCAAGTAATATAAAACGGAGAGAGTACAAGCTTAATCACATAAAAGAGGGTTCTTTGGGTATGAAAAATCTTTAACGCATCTGTTTGGGGTAAAATTACCCTATGCCACGTGGCCCAATTGCAAGTTGACATGTGTCAGCCCCAGAGAGGCCCAATGGGATCCAATCAGATGCTGACACGTGGCACTGTAACCCTAATAGGGGAACAAATCCTCTTCTACTATAAATAGAGGAAAACTCCTCATTTATGATTCATTCAAAAAAAAACATTCATAAATACTAACACGAAAACCGAGCAATATTAATTGCAGAATTTTCTCTGAAGCAGAGAGAAAATCCATTTACTTTCCGCACTTTTATACATCCAGAAACGTTCTAACTTGATCGTCGGAGGCGGAACTCCATCCAACCGGAATATCGTGGTTTTGCAGGTACAGACGGTCGGCACGCATTCTCGGAATTGTAACTCTCCCCGAGGGACTCCAAAAACCCCGAAACAGCATCTGTGTTTGGTTGATTAGTATATTTCTAATGGTTGAATTTAATTTAGATGCATGGTCTAAAAAGGAAAGAAAGAAAAAATGGTGTCATATTCAATTTTGGGGGAAAATATTTTCATGAGAAACTAATACGTGTACAAAGATGACATAAACAATTCTTCACTTTAATTATATTTATAGATTCTTTTATATTTTACCATATATAGAAATGAAAGGTAATCTAATTACTCTTACTATTTGGTTTGATTTAAGTAAATGAGTAGTTTTGTGAAATTCAACATTCAAATTATCAAGATGAACATTCTCAAATTCTGTTTCTATCAGAATTTGATTCCAGGAAAAGATAAAATGAAGTATGGAGGCGTAAGATGGTTTCTTCAGGTTCATCGCCCTACATACTATACCTTGCATACTATATATACACTAACTCCTATCAACCTAACTGAACAAAAGTCAAAAGAAACAGTTGGAACAGTGCCAAAATTAAATGAACTAGTTAAACTACTCAACCATACATCTACTCCTATTAAAACAGAAACTTAAATACTTATCTCTAATTCTACAAGTTTATATCACACAATCATTTCTCAACGGAAAACAAAAATGTTGAAATAATAAAGTTTGGCAAACTTGACTTTTCAGATCAAATCATTCTTAGTTGATTTCTTAGATCTAGTTTGATAAATGTTGAATACTTATGTAAGAATTGTCAAAGCCTTATCATATGGTCAAGAATTCACACCATAACTTCAGTACAAAGGCCACAAACACTTGCTATTACAAAGTTATAAATACTTCTTACTATTGATCTCAAAACATTATCAAATATCAGTGGCTTCTCTTAAGAGTTTGGTCATTTCCCACATAACCTTACTTTCTCTTTTCCATTTCGAGTTCTCGAATGCTAATGTTAAGGGTGGCTATTGATCTCCAGACACGGAGTTTCTTAGATAGCAGAGGAAGATACGTAGTTTCTTAGATAACTACACTGTAAACTGAAATTACTAATGACATCATCATTCTTGTCACCTTTAAAGTGCATTTATATAAATTAATCATAAAAATAATTATTATACATATGATATACAACATTAAAATAATAAGTAAGCTAAGCTTGATTTAATCTAGCTACAAGGATTGTACTTTTGAATTTTGTGATTGATAAGATAGTTTATTAATCTCCACAAAGCACAATTTTAGAAGATACAAATCCATTTAACCTTTACGCCTAGCTTTTCTTTCATCCTTAAAGTGTGTAACCGTGACACGAGTCATATTTACCCTTTTAGAATCCCGGTTTGATAGAGTTGTACTCCCTAAATAACTTCAAACATTGTCATTTTGCATCAAAAAACAAAAATGTTGAAATAAATTTGGCACACCATACTTTTCAATTCATTGACACCGTAATTTCTGATATAGCTTTATAAAATCTTGAATACTTGTGTAAGAATTGTCAAAGCCGCCAAATCATGTGGTTGAAAATTCACACAAATTATAATTTGAGCACAAAAACATGCTGTTACAAAATTATAAATACCTCTTACTATTGATAGATTATTTTACTCCCAATTAAACCATTTGTTTGATCTCAAAACATTATCAAATATCAATGGCTTCTCTTAAGAGTTTGATCATTTCCTACATTACCTTACTTTCTCTTTTCCATTTCGAGTTCTCGAATGCTGTTAAGGGTGGCTATTGGTCTCCTGATGATGGTCTCGAAGCCTCAGACATCGATTCCACTCTTTTCACCCATCTCTTTTGCGCCTTTGCCAAACTTAACTTACAAACATACCAACTCACAATTCCTCCGGGATGCCAAACCTTCCCTCGAACCATCCGACAAAAGAACTCGGGGGTCATGGCCCTCTTATCCATCGGTGGAGGGAGCGCAAAATCCTCTGATTACAACAACATGGCTAGCCAACCTAGTTCTCGAAAAGCCTTTATCGACTCCTCGATTAGCCTTGCTACGAGTAATGGTTAAAACGGGCTAGACTTAGATTGGGAGCAACAGTCTACGAAGGAAGAGATGGACAACATGGCAACCCTCCTAACCGAATGGAGGGCCGCAATAAAGGCTCAGGCTCCGAACTTGAT